CCTTTCCTAAAGAATCTCTGCTAGCCTGCCTTTCCCTAAGGAATCTCTGCTAGCCCGCCGTTTTCCTAGAGAATCACTGCTAGCCTGCCCCGTGACCACGATGACCAGACATTTCCCCTGCACTTTCTAATCTACAAGCCCCCAATTTCCTTTCCTTTTGTTGATTCTTGGCAATTCAGGGCCTTTGAAACCAGACTACGGCTTATCGTTGGGTAAATATGGGAGTACACGCCACTACGCTCAATACGCACAAAACGGCACATTGTCCCGGAATGGAATTGGACGGGGGAGGGGGATCAAAATACTGCGGTCGAAAGTGTCTCTGCTAGCTTGCCATGGGCACTGATTTTGAAAGAATCTCTGCAATTCTGTCTTTAGGTTGGCGCATAGAGGGGCGAGCTGGCAGAAATTCTTTGAGAAAACTGTTTGCTCTGAAAATCGGTCAAGCTAACAGTGACACTTTGCGTAGGAAAAGAAACGTAGGATTGGCCGGTAAACGGGCAGAGATTCTTTAAGAAAAAGCGATACAAGCTAGCAAAGATTCTATAGGAACGGGCAGGCTAGCAGGGATTCTTTAGGAACCCAAATTTTCTCTTTATGTGTTATTTTCCACTTTTTCAACTCATCTCATCCTCCGGAGACAGTCTATTTGTTTTTGGATGACAGTGCACTGTGGAGAGACGCGCACAGCAAAAATCTCAAGTGCATGTTCCGGAGGGGTGGAGGCCAGCCCGGATGGGTCACCTGATTTCCTAAAGAATCTCTGCTAGCCTGCCATTTCTTGAAGAATCTCTGCCAGCCGGCCACCGACCCGTCGAATTCCCCAAAGAATCCCTGCTAGCCTTCTTAAACAATCTCTGCAAGCAACCCCATAACTTTCCCTCTTCCTCAATGATCTCTGCTAGCATACCCGTCTCCTCGCTCTTTTTTAGAAATTTTAAAGGTACCAGGAAGTCACGATTTCTGCTCCCCTCCCCTCTCAGGAATCTCAAAATCGCAACATTCGAGGCAGGGCTAATGCAATTTCCGTCTTGCCGTGGATTTGTCATGGGGGGGAGGCGACCTCCCCTCCCCCAGATCCTGACTTTTCGGTTTGCTGGTTCCGTTTGTCTGTTGATCTGGATGTCTGTTCGTCTCTCTCTCTATCTCTCTCTCTCTCTCGCTCTCTCACTCTCTCTTTCTCATCTCCATCCTGTTTCACGCCAAAAAACACGGTTCTTCTCCCCCGGCCCCCGCTATCACCTATCGATCTTTCTTACAGCCGGCCAGCCGAATAAGGAGCTGCGCGTAGTTTTAAAGGGACTCGGAAGTCTTGATATATCTGTTTCTCTCCCTCTTTCGCTCTCTCTCTCTATCTCCCTCTCGCTCTCTTTGTCTCTCTCTCTCTCTCTCTCTGTCTCTCTTTTTCCCGCTCGTTTCTTAATTCCGAAAGAATCACCGCCAAGCTACCCCGTGTGGACAGCCCTTTTCTCAAAGTGTTGCTGCTAGCCTGCCCTCATTTCACCGCGGTAAAAAAATATTGATTTTCCCCAATAATCTCTGCTAGCCTGCCTTCCCAAAGTCCACTAAAATAGACCTAAATGCAAAAACATCCAAAATCTTAATGCATTTCCAAGTTTTCGTAATTTCCCAGACCCGCCTGACCTTGAAATAATCGTAAATCTGGATTCTCTGACTCAAGGGTAAAGAATGAGGATATTCCCTTCATCATCCCCTTGCCATCAATTCGTAATTTGGAGCAGGGCGTAGTGACGCATTCCATCTTGTGTGTTGCGCTTTTTATAGGCCCTTTCACGGGTTATCAACTCTATGGAATGTCTTTGCAGGGTCTTTTAAGTTTGAATTCCGGGGAAGTGGAGTAGCAGGTCAGCAGAGATTCTTTAGGAAAGGGCAAGATAGCAGAGATTCTTTAGGAAAGGGCAGACTGACTGACCCGACTGTAAGAGCCACGTGTCAAAAATGCGCTAAAAGCCTTTCCTTTCGTTTTTGCGGAGGAGTAGCCTAATCCGATCAGCCTAAAAGTGTTTTGTTTGTCCGTCTGAGTGCCCACGATGTACCTAATATTGAGCAATATTACAAAAGATAAAGCTACTAAAGAGCGAGAGAGCGAGAGAGACAGGGAGAGGGAGAGAGAGAGAGAGAGAGAAAGAGAGAGCGAGAGAGACGGAAAGGAGAGAGAGAGAGAGAGAGAGAGAGAGAGAGAGAGAGAGAGAAAGAGAGAGAGAGAGCGAACTAGGCTGACTCACTGAATATATCTTATTTTCAGCGCCCAGACCTCTATTTAGCCATATCTGGCTTGGCTAGCTGGGTGGGTGGGTGTGGTTAGCCTAAAGACTGATACTTCATCCAAGATTCGCATCAAGTGTTCTTATCAGCCCTTTTTTGGCCGCCGTTCTGGCCCCCTTTTTAGGGCGTTTTTTAGCCTTTAGCCTAGCGGTCAAACGACTCATCGCTTCGGATTATTTTTCTTGCCCGCAGCTTCCTCTGTTTTTGGTTGACTAAATTTTTGATAAGCCTGGGCTTTATAAGAGGGAAATACGCGGCTAAAAATTGATGGATCGAAAACCTGTCCAATCAAATGGTAGAAGGATTTCTCCGATTTTGTCGCGTTTCTATCCTTTTTACAGTGGTATTGGCTGATGCAAATTTTTCGGCGATTCGGAGGCAGTGAACATGTTCTCTTTCCCTTTCTCGCTCTCACTCCTACTCTCTCTCTCTCTCTCTCTCTCTCTCTCTCTCTTTCCTCTCCCTCGCAAAAGCAAAGCCCAAGAGCAAGCCTAAGCCTAAGCCTAAGCCTAAGCACAAGCCTAAGCCTAAGCCTAAGCCTAAGCCTAAGCCTAAGCCTAAGCCTAAGCCTAAGCCTAAGCCTAAGCCTAAGCCTAAGCCTAAGCCTAAACCTACGTCTAAGCCTAAGCCTAAGCCTAAGCCTAAGCCTAAGCCTAAGCCTAAGCCCAAGCCTAAGCCTAAGCCTAAACCTACGTCTAAGCCTAAGCCTAAGCCTAAGCCTAAGCCTAAGCCTAAGCCTAAGCCCAAGCCTAAGCCTACGCATATCTTCACCCGGAACTCAATTTTTTGCCCTTACAATCAGTCCTTGTAAAAACATGGTCATCCCAAACACCGCCAGACCCCGTTCTTTACCCTATTTTTTCCGCGCGACAACACAGTACGTGCGTGAGTCACTAAAAGGGCGGTTCCCCCCTTGAGCAGCGGGGATCCCCCCTCGTTTTCACCCGCGTTGACTATCACAAGACAACGAATCCCACCCCTCCCACCCGCTGACTCGAAAAGAAATAGCCCATTTTGGCTATCAAAACACGGGCCGGGGTCGGAAATGGGAATGTTAATCTCTCGCACTCTCTCTCTCTCTCTCTCTCTCTCTCTCTCTCTCTCTATAGCTCTCTTTCTTTCTTTCTCTATCTCTCTCACTCTCTTTCTCCCTAGCTCGATCTCTCTAACTATCTTTCTCTACCACACTCTCTCTCCTCTCTGGCTTACATTATTTCTTTCTTTATTTCCCATTTTTGCGGTTCCTCAAAGATCTCTGCTAGCTTGCCTTCCTGCTCGGTTAGATTGCAACCGTTCCATAAACATCCCTGCTAGTTTGCCAGGTTTTTCTAGTTTTTCTTGATGACTCTGTCTTTCTCTCTCTCTCTCTCTCTCTCTCTCTCTCTCTCTCTCTCTCTCTCTCTTTCTCTCTCTGTCTCTCTCCTTCTCTCGCTCTCGTTCCCTCTCGCACTCTCTCGCCACACCGGGTTTCTGAAAAATTCCCAAAGCGACTCTGCTAGCCTGCCAATCTCAATCCCCTCCTACCGTACCCGAATCATCTCATGTTGCCCCTTCGCGTATGCCATTTTGCTCATTCTTTTTTACTTTTGAAAGATTCTCTGGCAGATAGATAGGTTTCTGTGGATGGGGTGAGGACGAACATGACTTGCTCTCTCTCTCACTCTCTCTCTTTCTCTCCCTCTCTTTCTCGCGCGCTATCTCCCCTATTTTCCCATTTTCTGGAAGCACCTTGCTAACGGTTTGCTGCAGAAGTTGGCGCGCGCGCACAGAACCCAACAATTTATGGGTAGGGACTGGGGGGAAAAGGGGGATTTTAGAGGCAGAAATTCTTAAAATTCTCTGCTAGACTGCCTTCTGAGCTCAAATTTCCTCAAGAATCGCTGCTTGCTTGCCCTGGGCTCATTGTTCCGAAAAGGCAAGGGAATTCCTAAAAGTCCAAGGCCCAAATTGGCCTCAATTTTGGCCTTAGGGTTGCGAGTTTAGACGATATTGATCTGGTTTCAGGGAGAGGACCTTTTTTAAAGAATATCTGCTAGCCTGCCCTTTCCTAAAGAATCACTGCTAGTCTGCCTTTCGTGCTATTTTTGCTAGTGCCCCCACTACAGTCACTCCCATTAACAGAACTCCGAGTCCTAAAAAGCGTCCCTCCACCATTCGTCAGTAGGAGCTAAGCGGATTTCCGCCCCTCGTCACTTTGCTTACAATCTGGAGTCGATGTGGCCTGCAAAATGGGCCGTCGGTCCGTTTTCGCTTATCTTTTCGCCTCGGCCACTCGGCTATCAGTTTCCCTCTCAGAACCCACGGCCCCCACTTCGAAACTGCGTTTCTAAAACGTGACCTTATCGGGGGTGGCTGTGCAAAATCGGAGGAAGGGGCAAAGCCCCCTGCCTCCCGAACGGCATGGATTTCAGCGTTATTTATTTTTTTTACTATTATGTCAGTATTAAAGCCTGTTTATCCTTAAGAATTTCTGCTAGCTTACCTTGAATTGGACTCTCTGTTTCTCTCTCTCTTTTTCTCCCCCTCTCTTTCCCGGCCTCTCGTGTCGAATTAACCCCCATCCTCATGCAATTTTCTCGCAAATCGCCTGATTCCTTAAGAAACTCTGCTAACCTTCCATTTCCTAAAGAATTTCTGCTAGCCTGCCCTGTCCCAAAGAATCTCTGCTGGCCTGCCCTTCTAGATACCTTCGCCTTCACACCCAATCTTTTCAGATGTGGGGCGACATCCAAGAGTTCATCCAGAAAGAGTTCTGCGTCGGCGAGGGCCTCGTCGGCAAGCGGGGCATTTTGCAGTCGCCCTTCGAGCTGAATACACCGCAGATTGGCGTGCACTCGAAGATTGATGTGGGTTATTGGGGAAGTTTCTAATCTCACCCTCTCTCTCTCTCTATCTCTCTCTCTCTCTCTCTCTCCCTAATTTATAAAAATTTTTTAGACCCGGGCCTCCGAAATCCGGAAACCAGCTCCACAAATAAAGCTACCACCTATTCGTCAGCAATCACCGCTTCAGCAATCGCCTCCACAACTCCCCTCGTGCTCGACAATTTTTGAGAAGGTCGGTAGCTAGCAGAGACTTTTTAAAGAAGGGCAGGCTAGCAGAGACTTTTTAGGAAAATCAATAATTTTCCAGGAGCCCTCCCTCCCCTGCCAACCCTGTCTTCCCTCCACATCCGTATCCTTTGCGCCATCAAGATCTCCGAGCAACTCTTCCTTCGATTCCTCTGCTAGCTCGCTCGAGCTACGACCTGTGGAGATACAGACTACACCGCAGTCTACGCTACAAACTACGAATTTGAATGTTTATCAAATACCCGAAAATGGTGAGTGATGTTGGATCGGGAGAGAGCGAGAGAGAGAGAAAGAGACAGCGAGAGAAAGAGTCAGAGAGAGAGAGAGAGAGAGGGAGAAGGCGTGCTATAGATTTCAAGCCTTCATCCACACTTTTCAGAGCTCCTCCCCTGCCACAGTATCCCCTCCCCATCAGAATTCCCCGTCTACCATCAGTTGGTTAAAAAGGTGTGATATAGTTTCTAGCCTAGGGAATTTTGGCCTACTGTCTAGACCTAGTCGACATCCGGGGTCGATTCTCGCCTGTCCGATCCCCTTTAAACTAGGCAGAATTTGCAGGAAACTCCTCCATCAAGTCCAGAAAACAAGCTGACGCACGTGGAAAAGCCAAAATCACCGGAAGTGAGCGTGGAGATGAAGCCGAGGGCGAGGAAGGCGAGCTCTAGGTGGGGATTTGATTACGATAGGCAAATCGCGTAAAATTCGAGGTTATCACTGTGGTTTGCGAGAGAAAAAGAGAACAAGAGAGAGAAAGAGAGAGAGCGAGAGACCGAAAAAGTGGGAGAGAAAGAGAGCGCGCGAAAGAGAACGAGGGAGAGAACGAGCGCGAAAGAGAGAGAGATAGAGGGAGAGAGATCTTGACCATTTCCCAGACCCACAAAATCCACAAAAATCTTGCCTTCAACGTTCCTTTAAAACGTCCTACCAGCTCATTTTGTCAAATTTTCCGCCTCACTCCTATTTTCGGGGCACACGCAGGCAGAAAACTGCCAGTTGGCATTTCCGGGGGGATCGCGCTAGCCTAGCCCTAGCCCAGTCTTGCTCTCCGATCGGCCGAGGGTATCACTTTTGATACAAGTGTCTCCATTCCGATGCACTGACAAGACGACAGAGAGACAGACAGACAAACTGACAGAGCGAGACAAACTGACAGACACACATAGCAGTTGTTTACGACGAGCTGGTGCCTAGCTGCTGCCCCCTGCCAGCCACCGGAGTGACAGGAAGGTCGGAAAGTGTCGGTAGCGATGTCTCTCTCTCGCTCTCTTTCTTCTCTCTCTCTCGCTCGCTTGCTGTCTCTCCACTCTCTCGCCCTCCCCCATCCGCAATCATTCAATCAAGGCGCCACGCTGATTTATGCCTACGGAAGGGCACGGCGGGCGAATTTTTGTGCTGCCCAAATTTGGAGGGGCCGGCGGGAAAACTGAATTAAAAAGCTAGCTGTCATTGCGCCTTTAAAGAGACTCTTCAAGCAGGCAGGCTAACAGAGACTCTTCAGGATTTGGATCTGTTTTTTATTCCTTCTAGTTCTAATAACCTCCACCCCCGGATTGTCTAATTCCATTCCCCCGTTATCTCTTGGCACCTTCAACGTATATTTGCCCAACAGTTCTCTTTTTTGCGGAAAATCGTAAAAATCAGGCGACCCGCGTTGTTCCAAATGACGGTGGTTGAGGGCAAATAAGAATGGCTTTTGTTAGGTGCTTAAGCTCAAGCCTAAGCTTAAGCCTAGGCAAAAGCTTAGGTCAAGCCTACGCCTAAGGTAAACCATGACCAAGCCAAAGCCTAAGCGAAGCCGAAGCCTAAGCCTAAGTCCAAGCCTAAGCCTAAGCCTAAGCCTAAGCCTCCTTGACCTCCCATCACCCCTAAAAAGCCACCCAACGAACCCCCGGAAAAGGGCAATTCTCAGCAGCGCGGCTCCACTCTGGAAAAGGGCTCCGCAGGCCGTTAGGATCCAATAAAGGCGCGGGCGCTGGGCGCGCTTCCGCGCGCCCTCCCCGCGCGATCAAAACCAGTTGGGCAAACATTTGGCGATCTGTAAGGAAGCGGCGCGCCGAGGAATGGCAGTAATGAGGGGGTATTTGATGGCGCGGGCGAGGGAGGGAAGAAGGAAGCCGAGGGAAAATACAAAGCCGACGGTGTCCCGCTGCGCCGGAATTTGCATACGAGCACAATTACGGCGGGCGCGTAACGGGGGGCTTTGCGGGGGTTGAGATGTGTTTTTCTGGCGGTGGTTGCGAAGGGTCAAAGGGGTCTTGGGAATAAAAAAAAACAGTTTAGAGGGTCTATGAGCGCGAGAATCGACCCCTCTGTTTTCCTAGGTCTAGACAGCTACACATTACTCCAAATGACAAACGTCAATTTTTAGCAACGTTTGTTAAAGGGCTCAGAAAGCGAGAGAATTGTCTACTATCTTTGACTAGGTGCAGAGACAGCTACACACTACTCCAAATGACAAATGTCAATAGTTTTTCAGGCAAAAAACCGTTTAAAGGATCAAAAAGCGTGATAATTGACCCTGGTTTTCGCTAGGTCTAGACGGATACGTAATGCTCCAAACCACATGTGTCGCGCGCATTTGTAGAGTTCGATAATCTGCCCCCTGCTCTCTACTAGGTCTAGACAGCTACGATAAAATCCAAAATTACGTGCCAATCCAATTTTCATGCCGCCCAGAAGCCCTACGTTTCAGCAATAAATCAACTAAGAATGACGTGTTTTGGCGTGTAGCGTAGCTGTCGCGGCCTAGTCGAAGGGAAGGGTCGATTTTTACGTTTCCTAGACCCCTAGAAAGCCCTGAATTTCTTCATAAACCACCCGATTTCCAGCTGCGACTCGTCCGCCGAATCGGAATGCGACATCAAACGCCGAAATACACGGAAAGGCCCGCCCGAGCCGGGCCGTCGACTTCCGGTCCATGCCTGCAACCATCCGGGCTGCCATAAGAGGTAATTTAATCTATAAAAAGTCGTTTTAAAGGTAAGTTAATGGATTAATTATTCGAAAAGATTATCTGCTGCAAAAAAAATAAACCAAAAATACGGTTTCAGATACCACAAAAGCTCGCATCTGAAGGCGCACATGCGGACGCACTCCGGGGAAAAACCGTACGTCTGCGACTGGGCGGGCTGTGGCTGGAAGTTTGCGCGCAGTGACGAGTTGACGAGGTGGGATACATTCACAATACCCTAAAACGGTGATAAAGAGCGTTCTTAAGCCCGAAATTCGCTAATCTTGCGCTTTAAAACTAATTTTTAACGTATTTTTACGCCAAAAACAAATGATTGCTCAAGTTTTCTGCGCGTTTTGTTGGTTTTACGCAGTTTCCTCGCGTTTTTAGTGACCTGAAATTCGTAAAAAACGCAATAAGGTACCGTAATAAAACCATTATACCTTTCCAGGCACATGCGAAAACACACGGGCATCAAGCCGTTCTGCTGCTCGGTGTGCGGCCGTACCTTCTCGCGTTCCGACCATCTATCGCTGCACATGAAACGCCACAACACTGTCTGAATCGTTTTTATGCCCTTAATTTGATATTTTCACTTCTCTAGCTACCTTATTACTAAATTCTAAAGTATTTGCAAGTACTAAAACGATTTCTGTATACTGGTAAATTTGATGCTGCCTTTATTACCATTTTTCGAACTTTCGCATTGTAGAAAGGGGGGACGAATTTTTTTCTATTGGTCCGGAAATACCTTGAAAAGTAGCAACGCAAAACGAACAAAAATTTCAAATTTTCGTTGAAAAAGCGTTTAGTATTTTTAACAAAAAAAAAATCAGTTTTTTACATTTAGCCATAGTAAAAAAAAAAGTTTATAAACCCTCTCTCTATGATATTAGAAAACTGGATCCTAAGGAAAAGCCCCCCCCGTAATGCGAAAGGACCCAATTTTTGTACCTGAATTCGATTTCCACTTTTTTTACTCGTACTTTTCACCATGTTTGTCCCGCTCGATCTTCCGCTGCCTTGCCCGTGTCTCAGGTGGTACAATTCACACATCTCGTATTTTTTTCGATATTTGGTAGGCTGGAGATTATCACGTATTATCATTTTGAGGCTCACGTTATAAAGCTCTTTATTCACAATCGACCACCACGCGGCATGGGGGAATGGACAACGTGACGAAAATGGCCGACATTTGGAAAGTAGCTGATGGGGTTGATCACAGCACATTGACCCGGAAAGGCACAGGGAAATGGGGGAGGGGTAGTTTAGTTATTAATACAATTTTAGGATTACAGGAAAGGGATTTTAATCGGGGAGCGAGACTAATTATTAGCTTTGTAAATACCGTTGGCTTGAGATTGGTAGATGTAAAATTTTACAATTACAGGGGAGACAGGGAAATAGCGAGGCCTGGTTTTAGAATCACAGGTAGAAAACCTGGAATAATAAATTGTCAAATTTGAGAAAATACTCAGGCCTTCATAGGGATTTGGAGCTGCTGCTCGCCTCGGCGCCGTCGCGGAACACGCTCTTCGGGAAGGCGAACACGAAGGGGTTCTGGCACGTCGAGTTGATGGGGACGAGCGTGGCCTAAAATGCACAAAAATAATAAAGTGAATTGTCGATTCCATAGAATCCAATTTTTCCAGGTCCAAGTTAAATAGAGGAAGCGTTACTTTCTTTACGTTTCAAAAACGCATGATTGGCCCGAAATGGCCGTTTTTGATCAAGACGTAGACTTGTTCAAGAAAATTTTTTCGAGCTTTTTAGATAGCCTTTCTAGTTGAAATAGTTTTATTTTACTAAAAACATTATAAATGCCTGCTATTCAGTTAGTAGGCATTCTAGATGAGTACAAAAAAAATTGTCTCCCTTCCCCCGATAATGCGAAAGATCCAAAAACTAAAACGACTTGTTCTAAGATTACCAGAAATAAATCGGCCCTATAGCAATGAAAAAGTTCAATTTTTTTTCAATCTTCTCCGTCGTCCTATCGGCAGCTTCGACGTACCTGATATTGTTGGGCATCGAGCGCCTGGACGAGCTTGATGTGCCGCGGGTCGACGGCGTCTTCGCTTTTTCTGAAAATAAAACGTTTACGAAAAACTTCCAGGTCACTCACGTTCCCTTCATCATCAATTTTCGTGTCCGCTCCAGCTGATTCATCGCCGCTAAAATCGTTGTTTTGGAGGAGCAGAAGCCGGGCTCCCCTAGATTTTCGGCTACCGGATCATACCTTGATCGGCCGCAAAAATCTAGAGGAGCCTCGCTCTCTGATCATTCTTATGAAAGTAGAAAAGTAAAAAAATGAAAATACTAGCAACAACGCTTTGCCTTTTCTTTAGTCACTAAAAATGAATGGGAGGTATATGATGTCGTAATGGGTTTTTTCATCGGTTCAAAACTATTTCGACTTCATAAAAAGCACAAAAATGACTGTTTTCATGAGAAAAGTTTAGAACCGCTTCGGAAAAAAACAAAATTTGAAATTTGATGAAAAATAGTACGATTACAACAAATGACAAAGGCTGCGGCGCCGGGGTTTGCGCCCTTTCCACCGTAACGCGCTGGTCCCGGTCCGGCCACGAATTTTCGAGCCCTCTTGAATTTTCTGCGCCTCATGCCAATTTTTTTCTATTTTCGTCCCATCTGTCGCGTTTCGTTAGTGTTTTTACTTTATTTCTCCTCACTTTCCTCCCAGAGTGCGCTCGATTTTGAACTCCCGCCCGTTCCTATTCCCGTTTCCTCCACCTCCTGCGCATCACCCGCCTACCTACAGTTATTTTACACCGTCGATACTTGAACCTGATTTTATGCCGTCCTCTTGCTGCCAGCCGCCAACTTTCTTATCATCCTGTCAATTTCCTTTTTGCGCACCATTTCGCAAGCTTTCTCCCCACTAACTTTCAATGTTTCAGGGTACTTTGGATGGCCTGCTGATTACAACAGCAACCGGATAGGACGCACAAACTCAAAACAATGGAGTACGGCGTGCAAGTGGATAACAAATTCGCCTTCGGGTCGGATGATGGTACGCGATTTGTTGTTTGGCATATTATATTTTTTTCTTTTAGAACTGGGAGATCCGAGCGAGCTAATTCGCAGGAGCGTCCAGGAGAAGAAGACTCCCGCTCAGAAGAAGGCCGAGCGCGATGAAGCTCGTCGTCAAAAAGCCAAGGAGGAGGAAGCCGCCAAGAAGGCTGCCGCTGCTGCTGCCGGTAAAATAATTTTGTTGTTGCGACTTATTTTATTTTGTTTAGCTGCCAAGGAGGTGAAACCTGCTGGTGGTGACCGCGGACGTGGTGGTCGTGGCCGTGGAGGCCCTCCTCGCGGAGACCGTCCTCCTCGTCCACCAAGGGCTGAGGGCGATTTCTCGCCTCGTGAACGTACCGAAGGCGGCGAGTTCCGCGGACGCGGCCGTGGTCGTGGAGCCCCCCGTGGTGATCGTCCATTGTGAGTTTTCTTACTCTTCTGTTACGCTTCCGCTGCCATCTTTTCTGCTGTGCTTCTGAACAATTTTGTCTTTTCAGCCGTGGACGTGGTGCTGGACGCCCAGTTGGCGAGCGTGGCGAGGAGAACAAGGAGGTCGGCGACGAGAACACCCCACCGCAAGAGGGAGGCGACTTCCGACGTGGTGGATTCCGTGGTGGACGTGGTCGCGGTGGCCCAAGGCAATTCGACCGTCAGAGCGGCTCCGACAAAACTGGAGTGCGCCCGCAAGAAAAGAAGGACGGTCACGGCAAGGGCAACTGGGGCGATCAGGAGGTGAATTTGTTTTTCTTTTTGGTTCTTTGGTGGCACAATAAATGTACGAGCAAAGAGTCACCACTTGCCCGTTGTGGGGCCTTTGGTGCTAATTGAGTCTCGAAGAGTAATGGTTCCTGTAATTACGGTCTGCACACCTGCATGTTGTGCAGGCTCACCGATTGGAGCAACATCTCTTTCGATCATCATTAAAAACCGTGTGCGTATACGTTTCGATTTTATCTTGTGTTTTCAGGATCAAATCGCTGCCGAGACTGAGGAAATCAAGGTCGAGGAGCCCGAGACTCCCCCGGCTCCCCGCGAGAAGACTGCTGAAGAGCTCGAAGCCGAAGCCCGCGAGGCCGAATACGCCAAGATGAAGACTCTCGCCGAGTACCGCGCCACCATCCAGAAGGAGGAGGCCAAGTTCAACACGCGCAAGGCCGGCGAGGGTGTTGAGGAAAACTTCGGCAAGCTGGTGCCCATCGCCAAGAAGGAGCACTCGGCTGACGATGCTCATGAGGTGGTCATCCAGTCCAAGGAGAACAAGAAGAAGATCGTCGAGACTGGCTTCCGCTTTGCTGAGGCTAGCCGTGGAGGTCGCTTTGACGTGAGTTTATTTAGCAGCTTTTTATAAACTTGCATGGTACTTTATCGGTCTCTACTAATTTTTATTTTTCAGGACGACAAGTTCGGACGTGGCGAGCGCGGAGGACGCGGTGGACCTCGTGGTGGCAGGGGACGTGGCGGCAACACTGGAAGCCGTGGTGGTAGTGGAGGACAACAGCAGCGCACTGGCGGCGGTCGCTCGGACCAATTCCGTGCCGACATCAGCAGCGCCAACGACTTCCCCTCCCTTGGTTAGGGTAGTGTTTGTGCGTCCTCATCCACCTCCACCCACCATTAAACCAACCATCCATCCCCGATATCCCCTTGACCATCACAGGGACACCGTTATTCCATCTGCCTCTTCGCTCATAGCTAGCTTCCTCGTTTCTAGCCTCGGATTAGAACCTTACTTGTTAAACTTTTCGATCTCCAAGTTATGGAAACACCCCCGCTGCTTCCATCTCCACGCGCTCCACACAGCTCTCGCCAACCTCTAAACCCGGATTTAAACACGCACCCCTTAAGCTTTGTCTTGGAGTCAGGTCCGAATTACGGTGTTTATTTTGTTTGCTTTTTCTTTTTGTTGTTTGTTAAAAAGATAAAGCATCCCCCATACAACAACCAGTGTTTCGCCTGTATCGCACCCTGTGTCAATTTGATTGCCCTTGCAGAACACGTGCCTCACCCCCGAAGTCGGTGGAGAAAACGTGACGACCAGCTTTATAATAAACCTTTAGTGAAAGGTTGAAACAAGAATCGCACGCACATACAGAGAGCGCGCCCGCACCATTCAGTTGGTTACCCTTATCCCCCCGGCGGCGATGGTCGTGGCTGCGAGGATCCGTGTTTGCGCGGGTAGCTTTTGGCCGAAGGAAACACGGCGTTGTGGGGCCCCCGCAAGTGACGCCCCTTCGCGCGGAGGAGTCGCCCGGCGCGGTCTGACATTTCGACGCCGGTTCCGCTTTGCCCATATGGAAACCTCCAGTTGATCACCCAAAGATCGTCGATGCCATAAGCCGCTTGATGAGGTCTTTACTACTATTGGTGCAGCTGTTGCTCGTGTTCTGTGGGCCGCTGTGGGCATTTATAGTTGGCGGATGTATTGGGCCGAAGACGGCGTTCGAGCGATATTTGACGGCCACTGACAAGAAGGAGTTGAAGCGCATCGTGCACGAGAACTTTGATGGGCAGAACCAGGCCGAGGTATGCCTATAACTTTTTCTTAATAAAGCATAATTATAATCATCTGACTACGCTTCGCTTTTCTAAAGGGTATGGATAGAAAAGAAGAAGAAATATTTGGATAGCGCATCGATTGATCTTTATCGGCTACATTTCCAGGGCTTATTTCCCCGCCTGCCGCCGCTAATTATCACACTCAATGCCCGTGTTTTTGTGCGTATTTGCGCAGGTGTAAACCGCGATGTTTGCGGCTGCTTCAAGGGGGCAAAAGCGCGGCGGGGTTGGGACAAAAGGCTGGGTGGCGCGCGTTCCCGTTATTGTTTGGTGCTAGGGATCTGTGTGCAGAAGAAAGTTGTCGAAAAGGATATATAGAATGCGCTTTGATTCACGGGGTTAAATTTTAGGCGAGATCTCTAGATAGCAAAAGTTGTCGAAACTAGGGTTGTTTCTCGGAACAGACCGAGATTCGGAACTTTCGGAACAAAGACTGGTCGGAACGTTCCGAGATTCGCGTGTTCCGGCTGTTCCGAGATTCGGAACATTCCGAGATTCAAATGTTGCGGTTGTTCCGAGATTCATAGTGTTCCGGCTGTTCCGAGATTCGGAACGTTCCGAGATTTGGCTGTTCCGACTGTTCCGAGATTCGGAACAGTCCGAGATTTGGCTGTTCCGAGATTCAAATTTTTTCGCATGTAAATTTCCAAACACGACTGAATTTCGATTCGATTCGATCCCCAATTCGTTCTCATTTCCTTAATTTCCAGATTCAATATCTAACCATCGACGGAATTAAGTGTTCAGTTGCGCCCACACTGCCGTGTCACGGCAAAATCGAAACAGTTACATGCAATCTACACAATTTACACGAAATCGAAATTTACATGCGAAAAAATTTGAATCTCGGAACAGCTCAATCTCGGACTGTTCCGAATCTCGGAACAGTCGGAACAGCCAAATCTCGGAACGTTCCGAATCTCGGAACAGCCGGAACACTATGAATCTCGGAACAACCGCAACATTTGAATCTCGGAATGTTCCGAATCTCGGAACAGCCGGAACACGCGAATCTCGGAACGTTCCGACATTCGGAACAGTCGGAACGGTTGCTGTTCCGAATGTTCCGAATCTCGGTCTGTTCCGAGAAACAACCCTAGTCGAAACCCAAGTAACCAAGCCTAACGATTTTCAGGTGCTTTCCGAGGTCTACCATTTCGTGCACGGCCACGTGACCGAGTCGCAATGGGGGGGAAATCTATCCCGAGATTGAAAAGTACCGCCAGCAACATCACGAATGTTCCGTCTACGCCCAGCTGTTGCCTAGCCATCTTTACAAGCAGCTACTGGTAAGGTTTTATCATTCGTAAGAATAAAATTACAACTTTTAGACGTCGGTGTATAAAGCCTCGGAAACGGGCGCCGACAAGCATGAGGTGAAGCGGCTTGTGGAGGAGTACATTGAGCGATTGCTGGTGGAGGGAGCGCTGGATAGGGTTAGTCGAACATCTCTGGAAAGCTTCTTGTATGACCTTTTTCACTTTATTACATTCTTAATAGCATTCTACGCTGAATACCTAGAGTTTACTGAGCTTTAGAGTAGGATTTATATCGTTGTATCTTAATCCGCGGCGTTTGTCTAGCTTTATTTAGTAGGGTTTTTCGTCTTTTTAGTATTAGTCAACCAGCATACGCGATTCCTATAGCAAGACACATTTTCCAGCTCACAACGCTAGCCCCGCAGATGAAGCCCGCCATTTCCGTCTCGTCGGGTATCATGCGGCGCGTGGCGCTGACCAACAAGCCCGCCCCGTCGGCCATTCCATTCGAGTCTACAACCACGGGCACGACAAGCCAAGCTGCGACCGTTCCGAGTAAGGTTTTGAAGCTCAGGAAAATAACGTTATATCGATTTATTAAGCAATTTTTCTGAAGTTTCACGGTGGAGCTTCAAGCGTAGGCTTAGGCTTTTTTTTTAAGCGCTAGTTGCTCTTAAGACAAACTCAAATCCAAGCCAACAAGCTTCAAAACCAAGTCGAATCTTAAAAAAGTAAGTTTGGAGACGTATGGTAGCCAAAACCAACTTCAAAATTGAAGTGTGACTTCAAATAGGTGTTTTTAGACGTGCCCGTTCGCGCGGCCAACTACTTGGTGATGGCGCCGTTGCCTCCGGTGAGGATCACGTTAAGGTAAGCAATTTCTAGAAACCGTTTTACCTAAAACTAGGTAAGCCTCAGCCAAGCCTAAGGCTAAGCCTAAGACTAAGCCTAAGCCCGTTTCAGACCCCGCTTTCAATCAACCTCCTCCTCTCCAGCACCGAGCCCACCACAACTAAAGCTCCGGCCATGCAGCCCACGCCTTTTGCGGGGCTTAGCGTAAGTCCATTTTGTGTTCCGCATTCCAAAATGCTCTCTGCTAGCTTGCCGTTTCAAAATACGAAGGTGGATACACTTTAGAAAACGCTAGAAGAAAAGCGACGCTTCGACTCGCTGGCCCGCCAATTTCTACGCGAGCGCCAGCGCGTGGTACAGGAGAGCGCCGTCACGCCTGAGACGATCGTTTACAAGTGAGCAAAAACCAGGAAACGTGTTTGAAAATGGTAGTTAGTTGGAGTTAGTTAATTAGCTTTAAAAATCCGGCTTTTCGCGTAGTTCGTCTAAAATGAATCGCTAAGACCTAACAAGCCTAAATTTAAGCTCAGCTTAAGAAAATTCAACGTATTACTGCCAATTAATTTAAAAATATATGGGAATTATGAATTTTTTGGTTTCATATATTTCGCACATTTTTTTTTCTAATCGATTACGCCAGCTAAAGTTACCTTACTAAATAACGATGGGTTTCCACTTTTTGTCCAGAAAGCAGCACTTTTTTAGCTGTACTAATCGATCACGATAGCTAAATCACCCTTAAATTCCTAATTGATTTCAAGAATGTGAACGTTCAAAGCCCCTCAATTTCAGCAAACTAACCCTTCCCCCGGCGCCGCCAAGTACACCCAACCTATACACACTCTTCCCCCGTGCACTGCCCATCGTCAGCGACCCGTACGGGCGGAATCACGAGACGCTCGGCCATGGAGGGCCGCCGGCATTTCCGCTGGTTGAGCTGTGAGTATCTCGCTCTCTCGCGCTATCTCTCTCTCACTCTCTCTCTCTCTCTTTCTCCCGTTATCTCTCGATCTCTCTCTAATAAAAACCATCTTCTACCCACTACCTCGCACCAACTAACCCCGTCTTTAGGAACCCGTACTACTACTGCCCGGCTACGCAGCCGAACTGCTGCCACTACTGCGCACGTCACGCACCTCAAAATGGCCATCAGTGGTCGAGTTTTTGAAGCACACTAATGATACTAAAGCGAGAGAGGGCGAGAGAGAGTGAGTGAGAGAGCGAGAGAGAGAGAGAGCGACAGATACGTTAATCGATCGGCACTAACTTACAATACCAAAGCCCTTTTGATTTTTGCCTTTTTTGTTGGTTACCATTCTGATTGAAACGCGCATTTTCTGAGATTTTTTGAGTGCTAATATTGGTTTTTTAGCTTCCTTTCTAGCATTTCTTGATCCTTTGATTAATGTACAATTCTCCAAATTTTAGCCTCAATTTTTATGCCATTTTTTCAGGCCCGGCCGGCATCGGCGGCCGCAGCTGCTCGTCGAGAGGTGGGACGACCGGCGGTATGGGTTTGGGCGGATGATGGACGCCCAGAAAAGCGTGACCACCGTAGTCCCCACTACCGTAATCCCCACTACCGTAACCACCACTACCGTACCCCCAACCACTGCGTTATCTACTGAAGCTGCGTGGAGCTCGGGGCCTATAACTCCCCCAGCTAGTGACGGTCCGGAAGCAGCCGACCCTGATGATGGCTGGGACGTCGTTTCGCGCGAGTCTAAAGAGCGCTTGGCTTAGCGGATGCTTAGGCTTGGGCTTACGTATGGCTTAGGCTTAGGCTTTGACTTAAACTTGGGCTTAGGCTTATACTTATGCTTAGGCTTAGGGTTATGTTTTAGGCTTAGCTTAGGCCTGGCTTAGGCTCAGGCTTGGGCCTATGCTTAGGCTTAGCTTGGCTCAAGCTTAGGCTTCAGCTTAGGCTTAGGCTTAGGCTCGCTGTAAAAATCGCCTCCCAGGAAAGGTCCCCTTTAAAAGCCCGAAAAATCGCTGATTTTTGCTCAAAATTTATGCAAATTTAGCTCAAAATTTTCTTATTTTCACCCCCTAATTTTTGGCCCATTTTTGTAATTTTCTGGTTTATATTTTTAAGCTATTGATACATGCTTCTATTTTTGTTTTTTTTTTGCAGCTTTGATTGTTGTCATTTTGTACTTATTTTGGTGTCTATGGTATCTTCTCGACGGGTTCTTTTCTATATCTATTTTAATAAATTTATTTGGATCACCGGGATACGGTAAATAACATATTTTATGAATCAGTGGATACCGTACTCTCACCGGGTACCGTAAACGTAAATGTGGATTTTTCGCGGTACAGCGCGGCGCGGCGTTGCGAGGAAATATCCGGGGTGTCGGGACGCTCGGCCCAGTGCAGGATAATTTCCTAAAAAACGGGAGTATCTTGGGTTTGTAAAACGCTACAAGTTTATTAAGGAGACCGGCAAGGCAGACCTTTTAAAGGGACGGAAAAAACAGCAAAAACTTTTTACAGTGGTCAGGGTGACAGAAAATACTTTTTACAGGATCCAGTAAGGCAGAAAATACTTTTTAAAGGCGCCAGGAAGGCAGAAAATGCTTTTTACAGTACCGGGAAGGCAGCAAATATTTTTAAAAGTGTCCAGAAAGGCAGAAAACGGCTTTAAAGGAAACGGGAAGCCATAAAATAATTTTTAGGGGGACCAGAATGTCAGGAAATACTTATAAAGAACCGGGGAAGGCAGAAAACCTTTATTTCAAAGGTTAGAAAGCAGAAAATTATTTTTTTCAACGTTTTGGGAAGACTGAAAATGCATTTTAAAGGGGCTGTGTAACCAGGAAGCTTATTAGAAGGCTAGAAAATGTAGAAATCTAATCCTAAAAGGGCTTGGAAGGCGAAAAAAACTTTTCCGGGTGCAAAGGCTTCAAATTCGGCACTTCCCGGTCCCTTTAAAACGACGTAACACCCCCAAATCCACACCTGATCACAGGGGCACGTTGCCGTAAAGAGTTGTAGCTTGTAGGCGCGCCCCAGGTAGGCCCAAAGGTGCTGCATGTCGTCGGGGATCGAGAAGTCTTTCAGGGCCTAAGTGGTAACGTTTGGAACGACGTGTCCTCAAGAATCTCTGCTAGTATGCCCCCACCCACCTGCGCTGATATCCGAATTGTATGCAATCTGGGCAACACGACAGAGTCGATAAAACTCGGCTCATCGCCCGCCAAAAATTTCGTGCCGCAGCTGCCGAGAAATTCGTCAAGTCGGTGGAGTTCACCGAGGAGGGCCTAGGAAATCAAACAATCTCTGCTAGCTGGTCGAGTGAAGCTTTCTCTTTTTCTTTCGCTCGCTCCCTCTCTGTCTCTCTCCTCAGTTCTCTCTCTCTTGCTCCCTCTCTCGTTCTCTCTCTATCTCTATGTATCTATCTCTCTCTCTATCCCTCTCTTTCTCACCTGGGGACATTTATTGACGTCCTTGATAAAATACGCAAAGTGGCGAAAGAGGTCTGCTGTGGCATCGTCGGCTTCAGTCTGAAAATTGAGGTATTAGACGTGAGATATGGAGGGCGTTTGAGCTCAAGCTCAGGCCTAAGCCTAAGCCGAAGCCTAAGCCTAAGCCTAAGCCGAGACCTAAGCTCAATCCTAAGCCTAGACCTAAGACTAAGCATACCTGCTTCCGTCTTGGTGTCCATCGTTCCAGAAGTTCCACGATGTCATCCTCATGGGTATATGTTTCTTCTTGATAAACCGCTGCTGGCGGCTTGCGTAGGCCGGCCTGAAATGTATCAAAGCATGAGAGAGTGGGCCAGAGAGAGAGAGAGAGATAGAGAGAGAGAGAGAGATTTTACGGCGATTTACTGTCGCCTACCGCTTTAAAATCTGGCGCTGGCTTCGCTTCACTGACCGTTCGGACCTCGAAGACCAAGTTCGAATTTTGTTGGCCCTAAAATTTGGTTTGTAACGAGAGAGAGAGAGTGAGAGAGAGAGCGAGAGAGAGAGAGAGATAGAGCCATACCTTGAGCACCAGCAGCATAAATAAATGGTGTGAAAGCGGGTCTCCTCCCATTCTCTGCCCATCACTGCCGGCTCTCAGCCAAAGCACCAGTTTGTTGGGGTCGTCCATCTGAAAGTTAGGATCTAGCTGGCGCGTTCCTTTAAAGCCACGAAATAGAGAAAACAGGACAAACCTGTGAATTCTGGGGATGTTATCTCTCTCTCTCTCTCTCGCTCTCTCGCCAGGCCAAAATTGGCCCAATTTCAGTTAGCCTTCCTTCGCCAAGGGGATCGTTTTCCCCGCGCCTTGGCAAACAACAATATATCGCCCCGGCGGCACCTATAATTTTCTGAGTGTGGGTGGCGAAAACCAAAAATATAGAAACATACACAATAATGCTAAAATGCAAAAAGAAAAATATCAACGTGAAAATTTCAGAATGTGGAAATTTCATAGCATCGACATTTCAATTTTCAACTTTTACAAAAACTTCTGCAAAAATAAATGTCGACATTAACAAATTTCGACGTTATGATTTTCGACACCTTGAAAGTGAGAAAAAGTTTGTTAGAACTTTTTCGGAACTTTTAGGCTAAAAACTTTTCCGGATTCCGACAGTTTTTTGACAAAAGCGAAGGCGGGCGACGTAAAAGTGCATCGGTAAAACAGAGCCTCAAAATTTTTATAAACTTTTTAAACTTAAAAAAACATAATCAATTGGTCGATTTCCCCTTCTCGCTACTTTTCTAATCTCCTAAAAATCGTCAAATTACGATTATTACAAGGATTACAAAAAATAAATAAAAATGGCAAAAAAGCGATGCAAATAGCCCTGGAAATGTGCCAGCTGGCTTTCAGAAAATCAATTGTTGTTGTTGTTTCCAATTTGTCGCTTTTGCCCCACGGCGGCGGGTATCATCAAAAAGGGGGGCGTGGCTTGGACTAGGAGAAGCCGGAGGGCATGAGCCGGCAAAAAGGAGCCGCGTTGCGTGGCATCTCTCCCTCTCTCTCTCTCTCTCTCCCTCTCTCTCGCCCAGGGCCCCTGAGGACAGCTGGCCCAGCAAGGGGGGCCCTGCAAAAAACGGCGTAATCCACCACTCAACGTCGTAACATGGCCACTGGATACGTTGCGAAAGTTTTAAAGGGACCGTCCAGTTAGCCACGTTTACAGGGACTGGGAAACTGAGGAAATTTTTGATTCCTAAAATTCCTGTGCAGTTTTCAACGCCCTTTCAGATGACAGACTCAGAACTTACTCGGGTTCGGATTCCTGCCCTAAAAATCGCTGAAAAGTCCAGTCAAATGATGTTGCTTACAAACAGAATGCTTTGAGGTTTTGCTCTCCACGACAAGCACAACACGTATTTTCTGAGGCCTATTTGAGGCCAATCGGGCATTTTCAACCCATAATTCATTTTGCATCTGAATCTGAAAGAGCACCACAAGCAGTGCCGAAAAAGGTTTGGTACGAAACGTGGGAGGCCCTGGTGTAGGCGCTAGGCATTTTCGAAATGTTCACTTTTTGTCGTTTTGGAGCAAAGGACACCACGTCAATTTTTTCGAAAATTCGCTTCAGCCAATCGAGCTCGTCAGAATTTCGCCCTGGACTCATTCGAACCAGCTTCCGATGTGCTAACTGGCATAGCTTTAACACCGTCTTTGTGCTTTTTTTACGAATTTTGGAAGTTTCACCTAGACCCCCACACCCGGCAAGCCTCCCGATCGGCGGTGCCTTCCAAGGCTGATTTCGCGAGAGATCAACCGTGCGAAATGGTTTTGAATGCTGCATCAGAAAGAGCATCAAAAACATTGCCGAGTAAGGCCGAGGCCTAGATCCATCAACACGAAGGTGTTCAGAGTTTATCCTTAACAAGCGATTCCCAAGCAAACAAAGCAATACAATGCGTTTTGTAATCAATGGAGTAGCCTTTCGCGTACAATTCGGTCATTTCATAAAAATATAGTAGGGCTTAATTGACGTGGTGAAGTGGTGGACGGGCCGGCTAGATGGGCACGCTGTTGCGTCCGCCCGACGGTTTGTGCTCGTCGAGGCTGCCCGGCTCGGCGTCGGCGCACGCGTATCGCATCACCGTCACCTGAAGCACGTCGACTTCAGAAAGGAAAATAAGCCGAAGCTGGCTAAGTCTAAGCCTATAGCTAAGCTTAATCGAAGCTTAAGCCTAAGCCTAAGCCAAGCCTAAGCCTAAGCCTAAGCCTAAGCCGATGCCTAAGCCTAAGCCTCAGCCTAAGCCGAAGCCGAAGCCGATGACTAAGCCCAAGCCCAAGCCCAATCCAGCCGACCCACCTGCGAGGTGTCCTGTCCGAAGCCGAGCGCGGCTCCATGATTCCGGAAGCAGTCGAGGTGGGCGGTGGCCGAGACGAGCGTCACCACCTCGTTCGGGTGGTTCAGGAAACCGCCGTCGACCAGCTGTCGCCCGCGCACCAGCAGCTCGAGCTGGTTCTTCTGGCAGAATTGGGTGGCCTCGACGTCTGCAAGGAGGTCAGGGTCTGGCTTTTTATCATTATTTTGAAGTATTTTTCTAGCTTTTCCAGCGACCTGTAGATGATCCGGTATTTTTCCAATAAGCCTCGGTAGGCAGTAGATGCGCATGGCCTACCGGTAAAGCGGGGCATGTCGGTCTCCAGGTCGTGGGCGGCGGCGGCTCCGACCAGCTCCAACCTGGCCCACATCGCCTCGACGGTCAGGTTCAGGTCGAGGTCGGCGGTGGGCGGGCGCTGGACTTGGCGAAGGCGGGAGAGTCCTGAAGGCAGGGGTGAGAGAGCGAGGTAGGGAGCGATAGAGAGAGCGAGAGAGAGCGAGAGAGAGCGGGAGAGAGCGAGAGAGAGCGGGAGAGAGCGAGAGAGAGAACGAGTGATAAAGATACCTTCTTCCCGCAAATATCTCCCCGGACCGCCGTGCATGCAAAGCACGGTTCCATTGATTGTGGCGGCGAGGGGCAGCATCGCCAATGTTTCCTAACTCGTTGTCAAGCTACGGCGCCCGGTAGCAGCTCACCGATAGCAGGTCGATCTCCATGAAGTCGTTGGCGTTCCTCAGCTCTTCGGGGAAGAGGCCGCGTCGCTGCATGTTCTCGTAGAGGTCGATTTCCTGCAAAAATGTGTAAGTTTCAGCCTAAGCCTAAGCCTACTCTAAGCAAAAGCCTAAGCTTAAGCGAAACCTAAGCCTGATCCTAAGCCTAAGCCGAACCCGAATGGTAAGCCGAAACCCAAGTCTACGCTTAAGCCTAAGCCTAAGCCTAAGCCTAAGCCTAAGCCTAAGCCTAACCTAAGCCTAAGCCTAAGCCTAAGCCTAAGCCTAAGCCTAAGCCCAAGCCTCACCTTAAACATCGCCGGATCCTCGTGGAACCCCTTGAGGATGTGGATCTGCCCCGGGTACTTGAGCTTCATGCACAGCAGCATGAAGATGACCTCGAGGGACGCGTAGCCGAGGCCTACAAAGGTGATGATAGCGCGCAAATAAATCAAACCCGCGAAATTCCCCAAAAAGAGGTACTGGTGATCAGTGGGCGGGCCGACCATCGACATCAGCGCGATCAGCGCGTCGCCCTCGCCGTGCAGCGGGCCGATCACGGTAATTGGACCCTGAGATGATTTTCGGCTTTAGCTTTGGCTTGGCTTCGGATTGGGTTAGGCTTAGGCTCATGCTCCTACTCAAACTCCGGCTTATGCTTGGGCTTAGGCTATTGCTCATACTCCGACTCCGACCAACCCTCAAATCGAGCACCGTCGGCTCCATGGCGATCAGCTTCTTGGCCTGCTCGAAGATGTGGCACATCTGGAGAACAGGAATTTGATAGAAGCCAAATTCCTACCACTTCCTTCTTGTAGATGACGTTGTGCCGGTGGCCGAGCTGGTAGCTGGAGATGTAGTTCCAAATTGACGTGATGATTGGGGCTGAAAATCCTGTGTTTTAAGGGTTGCGTGCGCCGACGACGCCGAGGAGGTCAGACGAAACGAAAAAGGTCGCTGAGTTCGTCAAGTTTAGCGACGCTGACGACGCGGACAAGTTCAGATGATTCTGCGCCCCAGGTTTCTTCGATTCCTCACCTAAATCCTGATCTGCATAACTGTAGTCCTTGCACGGCTCGATGTCGACCGTCGGCTCGACCTCTGTGGTCGGCTTAAATTGGGAATAGCGGCCGGGTCCGGCATCTTCGGCAAGTTCACGCAAAAAAAACTTTAAAAACTCACCTCATCGGAGCTCATGCTGACGGCGCAATGCGAGATTTTCGCAGCAACCTCAGGATTTTTGAGGGTATTTATACGGAAATTCAGTGAAATTCAGGGATGTTAATTTTTTAATTAAAAATGGAGTTTATTACATCCGACTTGGCTTCAATTAGGCTGTGCTGATTGTGAGCTCTAGACAAAATTAGGCTTCGCTTAGGCTTAGGGTTAGGCTTAAGCTTCGGCGTCGGTTTCGGCTTATGCTAATGCTCAGGCTTAAGCTTAGCTTCATGGTTGGCTTCAGGTTTGGTTTGGTTTGGCTTTGCTGGGCCGGGGTTTAGGCTTGGCTTGGCCTGGCTTGGCTTAGCTTGGCTTGGCTTGGCTTAGCTTGGCTTGGCTTGGCTTCCCTTTCTTTGGCTCCCCTTTAAATTGCAACAGTATTATGAATATTTATTCCGCTTATTAGCATGCGAAAATTCGTGGTATGTCATCCAAAAACCGTGTAAATACAAAAAAATAAGGAAAGACATTTTGTTCAAAACTTGCATATTTAATAACTAGTATTTTTGTATGAAAAACATACAAAATCTAAATATTATCAAAATCCGGATCAAAAGAGGCCGCATTCAAATTGCGGAGGGACGGATAGCCAAGGTTATGGGTGGTGCGGGAGCGCCGGATACGTTCGGTCTCGTAGAGCAGCAGCTCCCCCTGCAAGAAGGAGTTAAAAATGGACTCTCGAGGCCCTTTAAAACCACGTTTGCCAGGTTCCGCCAAGATTCTCTGCCAGCCTACCCGTTCCGCCAGCTTCCCCGGCCTGATTCCGATCGGAGGCAAGCAAAGCACGTCGACATCCGGGTCGTCGAAGTCTTCAGTGAACCAGGTGGCTCCTGAAAATGAGCTTTAGAGGCAGGGAGCCTGAACCTAAGCCCAAGCCCAAGCCCAAACCTAAGCCTAAGCCTAAGGCTAAACCTAAGGCTAAGCCTAAGCCTAAGCCTAAGCCTAAGCCTAAGCCTAAGCCTAAGCCTAAGCCTAAGCCTAAGCCTAAGCCTAAGCCTAAGCCTAAGCCTAAGCTTAAGTCTAAGCTGGAGCCGAAGCTTAGCCTAAGCCTAAACCTAAGCTCAGGCTAAGCTACGGCTAAGCCTAAGCCTAAAGCTCACTTTTTCTCCTCCGCTCCGGCTGACTTCGGCTCCTCGGCGCGGGCTTTTCAGAATTTTCCTGTTCCGTTCCTAGCTTCTGTGGTTTCTTGGTAGCCGTTGTAGCTAAATATATTTTCTCTCTTTAGCCCGCCATTTTTAATTACAATTTTTCTCGGCTTCTCTGCGGGATTTCGCGATGGTTGGGCGTTGAGAGAGGATTTTTGCGCTGCCAATATTTCCATTTATTGGTCGGGACGAGGATTTAGGCTCTAAAAAGAACGTTTTTGAGGAATTGCTTGAAGTTACCTTTGGCTGGCTCTAATTTCTGTGGGATTTTCGGGTTTTCTGCTTCCTTCTGGTAGTCCAGGTCGATTGAGAGGTCTTTTTTTAGGGTACGAGCAGCTGGAGCATCTGGAAAAATAGGCTACTCTCTCACGCACTCTCTCTCTCTCGCTCGCTCTTTCTCACTCTACCTGCTTCAAATCCCGGCTTCTCTCGCTTCGAAACATTTTCAGATTCTTGTTCCATTGGCGACTGAGTCTCTTTTTCTGTAGTTTGAGTTCCAGCGCTTCGCGACGCGGGTCGGATCTGACCCTGAAACCTCAAAATCCTTCTTCAAAACACTTTACTGGCTTGCCCTCGGCTCTTGAGTTACTCAAGGAAATACAAGCTAAAAACTACAAGCCATAAACTATAAAGTACAGCCTGAAACCAAACGCTAGCTTCAAATCACAACCAAGTCAAACCTCTTCTATCTGAAGCGGGCTGAGGCTAGCTTTTCGGGCAGTAGTAGCATTCGTCTGTAGTTGCGGAACGGAAATTTTTATCACGACAGCGTTCGAATCCGATTCCTCTTGAATTTGGGCATGCTTCGAAGCTTCAGAAGAGGTCTGACGCCTGGATGGGGCCTAGAAGCAACGTAATCTGCGGGAGGCAAGCGAAATCATGCTTCGATGGGCCGTTAGAGGGGCTGGGAAGCACAAAAAATCGCCCCAAATCATTGCTGGGCATCGACAAAGAAAGCGATAGAGAGCGAGAGAGAGAAAGAGAGAGAGAAAGAGACCGTCGCTTGTCCGTCTCTTCAAAATCGGTTTGTTGCTCGTAACCTCACCTGCACAGGTATCGCTAACGTCCCTGAAGCTTCAACCCTTCCGGTGGCTTCCATTTTTGGCAAAGTCATTGCGCCTCTTCGTCCGTTTTGGTGGCTCCCATTTTCCGGTGGTTCCGGAGTGTTACGGTTTCCGGAAAACTCGTCGAGATTGATGCGCAGATCTGGCTGGCTTTTGGCTGCGCGAGAGGAGGCTTGGAGCTGCTGAAAATGTTGAGAATTCACAAAGAATCTCTGCTAGCCTGCCCTTTCCGAAAGAATCTCTGCTATATCTCCCCACCTTCGCCGCCTCTCTGGCTAACCACGAGGGCTGATTTGGCACCGGAACCATCAGCTCGTCCTCCCCATTCGCCATCGAGTGTATATAGGAGCACGACGGACTCTTCTCGAACCCGTCGAACGGATACGGAAGACCGGTGCAAGAGCCGTAGCCCTAAAAAGGAGATTCAGGCGGACTGCTCCTTCCATTCCCAAATGATCTCTGCTAGCCTGCCCGAACGTACATGCTGCTTCAAGTAGATGTCCACCCCTTCGGCACCATTCAGAAAATGCTCTCCATTATGCCCGTTTCGAGAGGCTCCTGGCACGATGAAGCGCTAAAAATAAAAAAATGTTTTGCGCTATTGCGCACTAAAAATACCGTATTTCTATTCCGCAATTTCTCAGCTAGGGTACCGTAGTTGCAGGGGATGAATGGGCCTCTTTCTACGGCTACGTATTCTCCGTCCGGCTCGAGGTCTTCGAACTGGAATGGAGAAACTGAGAGAGAGGGAGCCAGAGAGAGCGAGAGAGAGAGAGCGAGAGAGCGAAAACTATAGAGAGTGAGAGAGAGGGAGATAGAGGCCAATTCTATCATCGACCCACATGACTAATTTGCCTTCCATCAATCGTGTACAGTTTATTGACAGCAGTTGTGGTCTGAAATGTTGTTGTAGTTTCTAGCGTCCTCTAGCTCGTTCCGCACCTTCAAAATTTTTGTCAACTGATCCAGAAAAACGATCCAATGTCGAAAGTATCGCCTCGTCACGTGCACGACCCGGCTGCTGTTCCGCTCGTCGCCGTTGCGATAGACGTGGATCTGGAGAAAAAGTCGGTGTTTCAAAGGGACCGGGAAGCGGGAAGTGTACCATGTGTCCAATTTTTTTTGCTGAACACTTTTACGCTAGGTATTTAAGGGGATGGTGCCAAAAGCTGGGACTTTTGGTGCTGGGTTGTTAACGGGGGATGAAGGGATTTTAGCAGGGGGACTAAGTTTTTTTTTCTGTATATACCGAGCTGTTAATAATAACAAGAGCATTTTGTGAAATTTTTCGTAGATTTTGATTGTAAGATAGCCATAAAAATAGTTTAAAAATTTTTGAAAATTCGAAAATGTTTACATGCATTTTTTGTTAAGTTTTCATGAGTTTTGGTCAAAAACATCAAAAAGTACAAAATTCGTGCAATTTTTGGAGGAATTTCACCGAATCAGTTACGCTAGGTATTTAAAGGGATGGTGACAGCAAACAGTGCAATCAAACCCACCCGAATCGGCCTAAAGTCGAACGGCACATTGCAGGGGCAAATGTGCTGCCGATGGAAGGGGCCCTGGGGGCTCGAGGCCAAGTCGACCATCTGGGGTACGGTATGTAGGTCACAAAATAGCATGTAGGTTGTCAAAATACGGCTAGTTGTTGATCAAAAAACAAAAACCGCTCAGATAAACTTTGAAATAAGAAAACTTCAAATTCAAAACTTCAAATGATTCGACGAAAAGACGATTTCGCTGGCAAATTTGCACCCTAGATCCCAGCAAAAAATGCAGAAAGAAAATGGAGAAAGTCAAGTAAAACACGTGAAAATATGGCCCACCACCTCGCGAACCCCCTCAATTTTTGCCACTTCATTGCAGCTTGCGGGCCCGAAATGGGCCCCGAAAAAGGAAAAATCAAAGTTTTGGCCCCACGAAAGGGCCCAAAAGCCAAAAGGAAAGAAAAAACGCATATAGCGCGAGAATGGGCGGCCAAGGAGCAAGGATTACGAAGTGTAAAAGGAATATTTGGAAGAGGTGAGAGCGAGAGAGAGAGCGGGAGAGGGAGAGAGAGTGAGGGAAAGCGAGAGAGTGAAGCGTAACCAAAGTAATTAGCTTTTTTCATAAGGTCGGGGTTCCAGCCCCAAGCCCCTAGGTCCATCAAGTAAAGAAATTCGCGATTGAAAGTGGCGAGTCGAGAGCTATTGTTGGAAAGGGTCGATTTTCGCCGTTCACGGTCCTTTGAAAGAAGCTGCCACGTGAATTTGTCGGTCTTATATAAATTTCCCTAGATTTTTTATAAGCCGTAAACCCAAAGATACGAATCCGGCGAGAATGCTGCACTGGATATGTTCAGCTCCCCACCTGGAGACATATTTTTAGAGGTGGGCGGGGGTGTTGAGGCGATAATTGTGGGCACCACCGCCACCCGAGGCTCTCTCTCTCTCTCACGCTCTCGCTCTCGCCTCTCTCTCTCCCCTCCCCCGCTCTGCTCTCTCTATCTCTCTCCTTCGTTTTCTCGCTACTTCCGGAGCAGCTAGTCTCCATTTTGCGCAGAAGCCTAGATAATCGGCCTCATCGTTCACATCTTGGTGACCGATACGATGTACGAAATCAGGAGACGAATACTGGGACGTCTAAAAAAGCCTGATCCGTGTCCTAAAGAATCTCTGCTCGCTATCACCAAATTCATTTTGTGAAGTGAGAATCTCCCTTTAGTGCCCAAGAAAGTCAACATCTGCCGGGCCCAATCCCGATGCGTAGTTTGGTGTCCGGCGTACTCTATCTTTTGGGCGAGCATTCAGCAGTGTGGGGAATTGAGCGATGAGTGATAAGAAATGACGGATACCCGCATTTTCTTTGCCCCCGCGCCTCGCGCCAATTTTTGGGCATCGTATCGATCATTTTTGAGCTTTCCAATTATCCTAATTTACCCGTTATTAAGGGTAAGCTTTAATCCTAAAAATTCGAAATTCGAAACCGAAAAATTGAGTTTTTCAGCTAAGCCTAAGCCTAACCTAACTACGCAACAAAATATCTTTTACTGTTTCCTTTTCTCGCTCTCCTTCGCTCTATCTCTCTCTCACTCTCTCTCTCTCTCTCTCTCTCTCTCTCTCTTTATTTGTTTGTATTTTGCAGCTAAATGAAGCGCATCGTCGAAGGGGAATGCGGACGTTCAAACGACTTAGTCGGCCTTGCCAACCAATTTGGTACTACTAATCAACGGGTTCAATCAAATATCCCGCAAGGTCGGTCGTTTCCCCAAAGATCTCTGCTAGCCTGCCTTTCTAGCTTTAAAACCTGATCAAAACTCGAATTTTAGCATCATCAAGCCTCCTACCCTCCTCATCCCAGGGCGAGCTGTTTGCGAATGAGTTTTTGCAGCAGAAAGCGCAGAGGACGGCCGCTCCGAGGTCATTCCATACGGGGGTAAGCCGAAGACGAATGGAAGCCTAAGCCTAAGACTATGCCTACGCGTCCCTCTTTCCAGGCTTTCCTCCACCAACGCCCAAATTCCGCTAAAACCGCCGCCATGGCCCAACAATGGGGCAGCGAATTTGCGTCAGCGCAGCAGCAAAGTTTAGGTAAGCCTAATAGTAAGCCGAAGCGAAGCCAAAGCAAAGTCTAAGCCAAGCCAAGCCAAGCCCAAATTGTTTTTGTAGGAAACCAATGGGCCAACCAGTATCAAGCGGCAATGCCGAGTCGCACCATGGAAGCAGCCTGGTCTCAAGCCGTCGTCCCGGCTAGTATGCAGCAGGGGTGAGCTTCCTAAAGCATCTCTGCTAGCCTGCCCTTTCCTAAAGAATCTCTGCTAGCCTGCCCTTTCCTAAAGAATCTCTGCTAGCCTGCCCTTTCCTAAAGAATCTCCGCTAGCCTGCCCTTTCCCTAAAGAATCTCTGCTAGCCTGCCCTTTCCTAAAGAATCTCTGCTAGCCTGCCCTTTCCTAAAGAATCTCTGCTAGCCTGCCCTTTCCTAAAGAATCTCTGCTAGCCTGCCCTTTCCTAAAGAATCTCTGCTAGCCTGCCCTTTCCTAAAGAATCTCTGCTAGCCTGCCCTTTCCTAAAGAATCTCTGCTAGCCTGCCCTTTCCGAAAGAATCCCTGCTAGCCTGCCCTTTCCTGAAGAATCTCTGCTAGCCGGCCCTTTCCTAAAGAATCCTGTTCAGCTCCTCCCACGACAGCGGCATGTGGTCGGCCGAATTTTTGGATCAAATCGATACTTCACTTGGCAAGACGAGGGTAGGTCCAATCTTACAGAGACTCGGAAATCACCAAAAAAAAACTAATTTTTCCGTTTCAGTCGGGCACGCGCTGCCAGTGTAGCGTGTGCGAGGTGCGTTTTACCCTTCCATAGCACACCCCAGAATTTGTAGTTTGAGGCCCTGGGAGCACGAGCTAATTTTTTTTAGCACAATCCCCTTAAAAACCGCCAGAAAATCTGGGCATGTCGAAGTCGTCGTTTCAGACGGACATTTACACGGACGCCTGGGCTGATGCGGAGGTGGAGAAGCAGTCGAGGGCGGCGGAGATGGATCAGGCGTGGGACGAGATCTGGGATAAATCAAGGGTGAGAGAGAAAGGGAGAGAGAGAGAAAGGAGAAAGAGAAAGCGAGAACAATTCGCCAACTTCCAGCTCGACGCCGTCCACCAGCAGTTCAGCAAGGAGACGATCAACGAGGAGTACGTTCACGAGGTCGTCAGCTTTCATTTATCGTTTTCCCGCTCTGTCCCTCTCGCACTCACTCTCCTTCTCTCTCTCTCTCTCTCTCTCTCTCTCTCTCTCTGTCTCTCTCTGTCTCTCACTCCCTCTCTCTGCCTCTCTTTCTTTCTCTCCCCTCGCTCTCTATTCCCCTCACCCAAAAATCTTTTAGGAATCGAATCCATTCCTGACCTCCGCCAACCCGACTGAAGTTGGAGATGATCTGCTACAGCAGGGTGATTTGGGAGGAGCAATTCTGGCTTATGAAGCTGCGACTCGTCAAGATCCGCAAGATGCACAGGTGAGAGAAAGGGGAGAGAGAGAGAGAGAGAGAGAGAGAGAGAGAGAGAGAGAGAAAACGCTATGCTTTCAGGCTTGGTGCAACCTCGGGCTCTCCCTGGCTGAGAATGAGTACGATACCCGAGCAATCACGGCCTTCCGGAAATGCCTTGATATCAACCCGGCCAACCAGCAAGCTCTGCTCGGACTCTCCGTCTCCCTGGCCAACGAGAATCTGGAGAATGACGCCCTGGAAAACCTGGAAAAGTGGATTGTGGTAAGCCTAAGCCAAAGCCTAAGCCTAAGCCAAGCCTACGTCTAAGCCTAAGCAAAGCCTAAGTCTAAGCCCAAGCCTAAACCTAAGCCCAAGCCAGTGCCTAAGCTTATGACTATGCTGATTTCAGGCCCATAATGGCGGAGATCCGGCTACGGTAGTACGCGCGAAACCTCTCTACAGCTCGTTCCTGGATCACAACTACTTTGGGAAGGTATCTCAGCCTAAAGTGTCGCTGTATCCTGACTTTTGCAGGTAGAAGAACAATTCCTCGACGCGGCCCGTCAACAGGAAGGAGCCGGAGATGCCGAGCTGCAAAATGCCCTCGGCGTGCTCTACAATTTGAATAGAAATTTCCACCGAGCAATTGATTGTATGCGGATGGCCGTGCAGCATAAGCCAGAGGTGAGGGATTTCTGCAAAGTACCACTGCTAGCCTGCCCGTTCCTAAAGAATCTCTGCTAGTCTGCCCTTTTTCAGGATCCCCGGTTATGGAATCGTCTGGGAGCTACTCTGGCCAATGGGGATCAGACAGCTGAAGCCATTAGTGCGTATCGAGAAGCGCTTAGCAGGTAGGAGAGAGAGAGAGAGAGAGAGAGAGTGGTGAACGCTAAATTCCATTTTTTAAGGTATCCTGCATACGTTCGAGCCCGCTTCAACCTTGGAATTAGCTGCATGCATCTGTCCAGCCATAGGTGAGCTGCTGTCACCGTCCCTTTAAAATCCACTCTTTTCAGGGAAGCCGTCGAACATTTTGCGATGGCCCTAGAATCGCAGAAGGGCGAGAAGGAGACATCGAGCATTTGGAATACGATGAGGTGGGCGGGCTAGCAGAGATCATTTGGGAATGGAAGGGGCAGGCTAGCAGAGATCATTTGGGAATGGAAGGGGCAGGCTAGCAGAGATCATTTGGGAGGAAGCGGCAGGCTAGCAGATATTCTTGTGGAATTCGCAGAAATTGAAAATTACGCTAATTCAGGTCCGCCATCCTGCGACTACCTCTCGGAACGGGTGACGAAATTTTACAGGCGGCTAATTCGCGGAATTTGGGCGAGGTGAGAGAGAGAGAGAGAGTGAGAGTGAGAGAGAAAAAGAGAGAGAAAGAGATGCAAAACGCTATTTCCTGATTTCCAGCTCCGAAACGCCCTCCAGCGCGTCCCCGCTTGACATCCGGAGATCGACGAAAAAACGCCAGACGGGGCCTGTCGACACTGCGTACAAGCGCTGCTTTATTGGACCCCTTGACTATTCCGCGTTAATAAGTAGAATATAACCTTAAGCAACGAATATACGATTATTTATTAAATAGCACAACGAATCGAGCATCACAATTCAGACCCGGGGAGAGAGAGAG